CTACATAGAAGACAGGTATTTTTCAGGCAAATACCTTCAGGTTTAACATGTTGGTAGTTTAGAAATCAAATCCTTACACATCTGGTTAGAAGAGACAGTCTTAAGTCATAATAACAATGACCAAAATTTAATCTTGTTTTGGGGCATTTTAGACATCTTTATGAATTAGTCTAACTTTTACTTACCCTGAACACCTGTCACAGAAGGAAAAATAAATGTGTCACTGTTCAAATATGTTTATTTGCAGTTCTAGTAGAAACTAAGAATTAAAATCCCATTATCTTGAAAAAACCTCTGCAGGAGCAGAGATTTTAAATAGAGGAAACAAACTTCTAAAGCTAAGGAGACAAGCAATGATGGCTAAGTAGAATGTTTTTTCCATATATTGCTGTATAATCTCAGCATGGTAAATTAAGGCTAGTTTGTGTGGTGAATTTTTTTTAACTAACTCTGTGTGGATGCTTTTTGCCTAGGAATACAAGGTATCCTATTCTAGGACCCTAGCCTGTATGTTTCCAGATTATGTCATCTTACAGAGCTAATACAGAAGAATTGTTTTACTTCGACTTTGCATTGTACCTTGTTCTGGATTATTTTTTTACTTGTGGACAAGCTGAAAATTTGTCTGGTTTCAAATTCCACAGTCTTTCCACTTGTGAGTTTTAAAATGTATGTACTGATTTTATTAATATAGGGAGCTCTAATGTGATGATTGTTTCTTTTTTCTACATTGTAGGTGGTGTTAGCAAAACATGTGTATGAACAAGTCCTGCAGACTCTGGATAATTTAATTTACAGTGAAGACTTGAACAAATTTCCAACCACTTCTGTATCTTCAACTTGTCATAGTTCTCCTTCAGCATCACTTCATAGTACAGGCACAGAATTCTCAAGTGAACGGAAGGAAAATGGCTTATTCAGCCATTCTAGTTTTAATTCTGTTCCAAACAAGTCATTAGCTATCAGGGAAACAAAGTCTTTTACTCAGATTCAAGCAAACTTTCATATCTCAGAGCTCCAGGTTCAGTTAAGTGGTGATCTTACACTTGGTGCACAAGGCCTTGTCAGCCTTAAGTTTCAGGATTTTGATGTTGAGTTCGCTAAAGATCATCCTCAGACTTTGTCTATTCAGATTGCCTTGCGTTCTCTGCTAATGGAAGATCTTCTGGAGAAAAACCCAGACTCTATGTATAAGAATCTCATGGTGTCCCGTGGAGCACCCAAGCCATCCAGTTTAGCACATAAGGAATATCTTTCACAGTCTTGTCCCTCGGTATCCAATGTAGAATATCCAGATATGCCACGTTCCCTGCCTTCCCATATGGAAGAAGCACCTAATGTCTTTCAGCTATACCAAAGACCAGTTTGTGCCTCCCGTAAGAAGCAAAAAGAAGATGCTGATTCTGAGTATCCTCTGACTCCACCTCCTTCTCCAACAGCAGACAGATCCAAGTTGCCCTGTGGAAAAAGTAACTTTGATGATTCATTAGTTCATATCAATATATTTCTAGTGGATAGGAAACATCCTGAATTTTCTTCTCACTATAACAAAATTAACCGTAGTGTAGATGTTGATTTTAATTGTCTAGATGTCTTAATAACTTTGCAAACTTGGGTAGTGATACTGGATTTCTTTGGGATTGGATCCACTGCTGATAACCATGCTATGAAGCTGCAACCTGAAGATACTCAGCAGACAATCAAATCAGAAATAAATACCTTGTCAGCTTCTCAAGCCCAAGAGCCTGTAAACACTAAGCTGGATCTGAAGGTATACTTGAGATGCAAAATAGTAATTGGATTGTCTGTCATAAAACGTCTGGTTTATAGAAACTTAAGGTGACATTTAAATCAAATGTTTTATATTCTAGTGGAGAATGCGCATAAATTCAGAAACAGTAGATTTAAAGCGTGCATAGATGTAGTTAAAAAAAAAGTGCAGAAGTTACAGAAAATCAAAACATTTGCAAAATGATTGGCTCCCTTGCTCTGTGACCCTCCTTAGACACGTGTATGCCACTTGAAGGGAGGCTGAAGTAGAATGCCCCATGTTCATCCAATGGAGCTCTCATGGGGAGAGTTTGACACCCACCCCCCAGCCCCATCCAGTCTGCTCTATGCCCAAGGGTCTAAGGAAAGTGCAAGTCTTGTGGGCAGTGTCTCTTGCCTCCCTGCGATAACACGGGGCACAGACTAAATGTCTGTGATCTCTTAAATGATAAGATTGCTTCAATATTAAAGACCTGACATACTGAAATTGGCACTGAAATTGTGCTGTTCTAGGTACTATGGAGTTTATTTAAAAAAAAACACCGATATACTTTTATAAATATATATACATATATGTCTATACATATATATGTATAAACATGGGTTGTTGTTTTTTGTTAAATTATGTGTATATATATAGACGTTGCCCAGAGGTCCTGCAGTCTTAAGTTAAAAATGACAAATCTTGAAAGAGAAAAGAACGAAGATAACAGTGCTAGGATTTGTTGATGACCTGATCATTCTAAGTTGCTTGGGAGACCTGTTAATGTGCAAACAAGGAAGTAAAAAGGTTGCTTTCCTCCAGTGTCTCCCAATCAGATAATTCTTGTTTGCCATTTATGTGTTACAGTGCAATTGTCTTGAAAAAAACCAAGACGACGTTCCAGCTATGAAGTCCTATTGTTTAATACCAACCTGTTCCTTTTTGTTTGACCAGGTTCATTCTTTATCGTTAGTACTGAATAAGACAACTAGTGAGCTTGCTAAAGCCAGTGTGTCAAAACTTGCAGCTCACTTGGAAGTGATTGGTGAGTAGATTGGAGGGCTCAGGATGTATGCAGTTTAAAATAAAAGGAGGTGTGCACTGGAGTTGTGATTTGAAATGCTTTTATTTTGCTGCTTATTGGGTTTTTTTGTGTGTTTTGTTTCCTGGGGAAGATGCACATTCTCTTCCCACTGCTGCTTTGCTTTTCCAGGCTTGATTTTAAATCCTCGCATCCCTCCCAGTTGTCAAACCCTTGATCACTTTTGCCGAGATTGGCTAGGATTTTAATACTTCACTTTCACAGAGCAGAACAATAGTGTATATTACTGTTTTAGAGAAGATATCTAAGTTTTCACAAATCAAAGTGGTGTGATCTCATTATGTATGTAAAGCATAGAGTTGTGTTTGGGTGAATACAGTCTTTGTAGCAGAAAGACGTGATTTTCTTTGAACGTGAGGTTTAATGTTTAATTGAATGTGATTTATTTAATTATTTGTAACAAGTTTATCCCACTAATAGAAACTTTAGGGTTTTAGTAACTTATCTGTGTTTGAGGATCCTAATTGTTTGCCTTTTGTTTTGCAGAGGGAGATTTAGCCCTCCAAGGAAGTATTGGAAGTCTGTCCTTGAGTGATCTTACAGCTCATGGAGAATTTTACAGAGAACGTTTCACTACGAGTGGTGAAGAGGCGCTCATTTTCCAAGTCTATAAGTATGAATTTAAACTTCTTGTTACTCGATATTGACACCCCACCCCCCAAAAAACCAAACCAAAACCCAAACAAACCCAAAAAACCAAACCCACAACTGTCAGGTCTGCATGATTCTGCTTTGGATGCTTGTGACTTAAATGAGACTTCGAACATTTTTGGTCATAAACTTAGGATTTTTAGCTTTTCTTTGTCCTGCAATGTACATGGCTTACCAGGAAAAACAGTTTTTTATTGCCCTCTAAATCTGTTCTTGAAAGTATTTAGGTGATAGTTTGTTCCTAGATAAAATAGTAGTTGTTTTTTAAAAGTTGGAAGAGCTTTTCAACTGATGAAATAGATTTTTCCACTGTTCCTTAATTCCTTAATTTTGGAATTAAGGGTTTGCTTTTATCATAGGGTACTCTTGAAGTTGTTCTGCTTTGTGTAAAGTAGTAGTTCTTATCCTGTGATGTTTCATGGTTTTCCACCCCCACCTCCACCCACTAGAATTAATCAGATTAGAAATTACCCAAGTAATATTATGGAATTAATTCCAAATGTAGTAGATTCAGAGTTGAATCTACATATTGTCGTGCAGTAGAGTACTTACCTTATAAGCCACTGTTCAGATGTATAAAATCGCCAAAGGTCTATCTGTTAGATGTAGAGATTAGAGGTACATTCCAGATAAAGAATTTTCCTGTTTGCTTAATTAAAACTCGGTAGCACTTAAATATATGTAATTTAGAAATAATTAATATAAAACCAGTTTTTCATATCTATAATTGAAATAGTTTTAATTTATATAGTATGAACATCAGTTAAATCCTCTGTTATTATTTTGAATGCAAAAAAATGAATAGCGCTATTTGTAAAATAGCTAAGATAGCTAAATTTTACTTTCAACCTTTATTGTAGATATGGGAGGCCAGATCCATTGCTACAGAGGGAGTGTGATATTCGTGTTACTCTACGAATGGCATCTGTTCAGTATGTGCATACTCAGCGTTTCCAGGCAGAGGTGGTGTCTTTCATCCAACATTTTACTCAGCTTCAGGATGTCTTGGGGCGGCAAAGAGCAGCAATTGAAGGACAAACAGTATGTCTCCTAGCCTACTTTTGGAAGTTGAAATGCAGTATAAAATTTACGTTAATGCATCAGCTCAGTGAGTTGAAATGGTGGGAGGTTTTAGAGTACTGGTGTTAGTGGAGATTGCTCATACTCCTCTTGTCGTTAAAAGACCTTATTTAGGACTATCCTGCTGCTATTGAAAGTGTAGAATACCAAATTTGCACATTACTTAAAACTTTGGCACCTGGATCCTGCTGTATGCACTGATACAGGTGTTTTCCTATCTTTGTGATGCTAGACAAAAGGGCTCAAGATTTTATCTTGCCTTTTTCTCCACTGTTCACCAGGTAGTTATAATACCTGAATAAGGAGAACCAAGTGAGAAATCCTTCTGTTCTACTCAGGTGTATATCTTTGATTGAGTATGATGGCTGGTAGACTGAGAAAATCAGATGCTGAACTTCTGCACAATAGAGTATATAAATAATCATGACAGTCGTAGCCTATTTTGTACAAAACCGAATGTGGGAGTGATGAATATAGGTAATAGCAACAGTCTTGTTTAAAAAGTCGCTTCTCATAATTGGAAGAAAGACCGTTAATACTTGCATATATTAAAATGCTTCATTGTGCATCAGTTAGGAAGTTAGAATCTGATTTTGAAACATCTGTTCTAAGTGATGGGGTTTTTTTCCTTTTGTAAATAATTTTTCTTAAGTAATCTTTTCTGTAAGTAGTGAGCTGAGTAGCGTCTGTTATGCCTCTTAGTTGGGTGGTGACAGTGTGCTTCACTCCTGACTGCTGCACCTGTTGCACAGTGTGTGCTGTTTGCATCCTAGTCCTTTTTTAACTAGCCTTTATTCTCTGCCTAAAACAAGATTTTGAGTTCTTTTGGGGGGGGGGGTTGGTATAAAATTTTATCACATCTTAATTTTGTAAATCAAGGAATAGTGTTCCTGAATTCAGTACTCATCAGCGTGAAATAATCACCCATTCCCTGTATTATTTTTTTTTAAATGAATTTTTGCTTTTCCCAGGTAAGAGATAAAGCACAGCGAGCTTCCCGAGTTCTTCTTGATATTGAGGCTGGTGCTCCTGTTCTGCTCATACCTGAAAGCTCAAAGTCTAACAGTCTTATTGTGGCTAATCTTGGAAAACTGAAAGTCAAGAACAGATTTCTGTTTGCGGGTATGCCGGGTACTTTTTCACTGAAGAACAAGGTAAGAACATTACTTCTTAATTTAGCAGCTTGTGTTTTTTCTAGTTCTTGTGCATTTTATTTCTATATCAAAATGGTAAATGATTCTTACATTTTACTTTATGTATACACTTTGTACTACTAGTAGCAAAACAGCCCATGGCAGTGTGCTAGGTAGTCTCCTGGATCTGGCCTGCCACTGATTGTACCCAGCTGCTCCATTCTGTGCCTGCACCTGGGCTTGCTTTCTGAGCCCTTCAGGGTAGAGGGGAGACTGTGCTGTGGAACTCACTAGAACTGGCCTTGTTAGGAAGCAGGACCCAGTTGGGTGCACACCTGAATGTGGGAGCATAACGGGCTTTCAGCTAACCCTGTTTAGTAGCTTCTTCAACTCTTCACCAAACAAAATGTCAACAGTGTGAGTAGCAGAAAATAGGGGTCTGTATTGGCTGAGACTTGCTGGAACACACTGGAGAACAGAATTGGTTTTAATTCTTTTTTTTTTTTTTCCTGCTCTTAAAGAAACTGAGTGTGTAGTTGCTTGCATTAGGTGAAACCTAATGAAAGGTTTCCAGTGAATGCTTGAACCCGAGGCTTAGGCGCAGAACAGGGAATAGTTGGTGTTGCTGTTGAGAGGTGCAGCCACAAAATTTGGGGTAAGGCAGGTCCATCTTGGATGGCTTTCTGTATCTAACCTATGCAACAAAATGGGTAGTTGTTCTGGGAACCCCCTAATCCCATTTTAAAGGGGGGCAGAAATTAGGTGGACTAAATTGCTACAGCAGTTTTGTGGCATGTCTGTTACCTCTATGTGATTTATATCTACCAACGTCTCTACTGTAAGGAAATATTGGACTGTAATATTGAGTTGTCTTCTGTATTCTAGTGTGCTGATGTATTTAAAGGTTTGTAAGTGGTAGATACCTAAATTAATGTTAGAAGTTAAAGGATGTGTGCATAGTAATTCTATTTCAACTTAAAAATACTGTGTTATGTAGCGCTATAGAAATTTGGGGGTTTGAAATAGGGTTGGGTGGGGTTTGGGGTGGGTTTTTTTGTTGTTTTTGTTTTGATTTTTTCTCTGTCCTATGTTTATTTTTGAGGATCTGATTTTACAAGGCAATGCATACAAGGATCCAGTTTTATTTGAGGTATTTCACATCTTTATAGTGGTGTTCAGGTGCTCCTCATTCATTTTTAAAAAAAGGAAATTTTCTTGTGGAATTTAGCACTTCAAAAGTTCCTTTGTATGTTAAAAATGATGTTTCTGTTCTAAAGACTGCTGAATTTTGTAAGAATTGGATTTAAATTTGTTGTGGTGTGCTCTTTATGCATGTCTGAGGAGCTATTAATTTGGATTTACTGCAAAAATTCATAGATTTATAGATGATGCGATGATTTTTCTTTGCATGTACTTTTCAGTCTTGTCTTTACATTATAAAGTTAAATGTTAATGTCTTCAAATTTTTAATCTTAAAATTCTTGATCATGGCTGCAATGAATTTTTCCAATGAATAACATTTGAAAACTACGTAAGGCAAGTAAGATTAATAATTAAACCAGAAAGGAACATTTATGAGTAAGGATTGTACAGTGACATCAGAAGCTGGATACAGAAAGAAGATGGGAAATGATAGTTACAATACTGCAGTCACGGGTAAAGTGACCAATCCCAGAGTAAGGGGCAAGTGGATCACTAAAGACAGATGATTGTTGTCTGCTAGAGCATGTGAAGCTGAGTAAAATTGAAACATGAGGTTAATAAATTTAAATCACAACAGACTAAGTGAACCCTGAAATTGGCTTTGGACTTTAAAGGTAGTGTGTAAACCTGTTTCGCCAGACACGTGTTTTTGGGAGAATGAATTCCTAATGTTGATGTGACTATTTTACTAGCAAACGATACCCTTTGCAGGTTTTTGATGCTAGACAGCATCATGAAGGTGGAAAAGCTTGTAACATTTCCACTGGGTATGTGGTAGAGGGGAAATGTCTGAAATGTTATACATCAATATAAATGAGCTTTTCTTTTGTCACCCGTGGGGATTTTAACAATGAGGGCAGGGATTTATTCTGTCTTCAACTTAGCTACTGCAAAAAAATTTTGGGGCACGTTTTGGTACGATGACTGAAGTATTTAAAGTGCATAAAATGATAACTTTGTGTGTAGAAGTGTTTGTTCACGTATTCTAATAAAATATTAAGTTTCTGACATCTTGCAGAAATAATGGCATATGTTGTTTTCATGACCTGAAGATGTTCTGCAAAACAGCTTTAAATATTTCACAATCTTTATTCTACAGAAATGCTTGATATCTTGACAGTCTTACCCCTCTATTTTGTTTTTAACTTCATTTACATGGGGGCTTTGTTTGGTTTTGTGCAAAACCCACTGATGTTGAATTAATTTCTCATTGAAAAGATTTCACAACTTTTTTTAAAATGTTGCTGAGTATTTTTTTTTAAAAGAAAATGTTTTAATCTGCTGTTACGGTTATAGGAAGAAAATTTGGCCATCTTTCTATGGTAAAAGATACTGGAATTCAAATAAAATATTTAGTTTTTTGAGAGGGGTTTGTTGCAGCTTGAACCTTGGTGTATTTGTTCCTTAGAATTTAAATTAAAAATCTATTGTTAATTACATAATTTCTTTCATTAGCAGGATTCAGTTCAATTTTCATCTCCTTTGGGAACCCCAAAACATATCATGAAGAAAACAACAAGTGCTGATGAATCAAAAGTGGTGATGGAAGGATTGTTCATGAAAAAATCATCAGGAACAAACATTTCTAGGCTGAAGAGTGAGCCTATGTTGAATACCTTGAGTAAGCAACAAAGCCAGCAATCAAAGCTACCTATCGCACCAAACCCTGACAGCCCAGGTATGTGATAAATAGTAGAAACCCCACCCGTATAGCTCTTCTTTTTCCTTGTAAAATAATGCAGTGCAGTTTTGCTTGTATCTTATGTGACACTGGAAAAGTAAGGCTCTGGGTCTAAAGATTGTAGATTTAAAAAGAAATGACTTAGTTTCGAGGTTCATTTTTGCAGCTTAAAGGATTAGGGAATTTTAGTTCAGTTTCTGGAAGAACAGTCCTGCAATTTGGGCATGTTTTGAGATGCATATTGCAGACATATAACGAGTATAGTTGGACTCTAAATTAAGAGTTTACATTTACCTGTGAATGAGCTTGGTATCTAGTAGTTACAGATATTGACGAGGGTGAATAAAAAAAATTAAAAAAAAAAAAATCAAAATAACTTCCAGGAGAAACTAGATTTCTTTTTAAAGTAAGTTGCATTAGTTTTGTACAGATGCTTTTTTTCCTTTCTTAATATGTTGTCTTCTGTGCACTTGCAGAGGATCACATCTGCCTCTTAGACTGCATTGTGGTTGATCTGCAGGACATGGACATATTTGCTGCGGAAAGATATCAGAGAGGGTATTCAAAGGCTGTGGAAGATACAAGTGCGGACTTGAGCTTTCCATCCTACTTTGTGAGGCAGACAGGAGGAAGCCTATTAACAGAACCTTTCAGACTGAAGTTACAAGTAGAGAGAAACTTAGACAAGTGAGTTTATCTAAACACTTAATGCTGTCAGCCTAAAGCCAGTGTTCTAGATGCCTTTTATTTTATCTTAAAAGTATTGCCTGCTGTGTTATAGCACCTTGAAATACCGAGGTTTTTTCTGTTGTTGTAGAGAGCTAAGTCATGCAGTTGCAGACATATCAATACATGGCAATCTGTCATCAGTCCATTGCTCTCTGGATTTGAATAAGTACAAACTGATACGTGGACTGCTGGAGAACAACCTTGGGGAGCCAATAGAAGAGTTCATGCGGCCTTATGATTTGCAGGATCCAAGAATTCATGTAAGAGGAACCATATGCAGTTGAAATTCTGTCTTGAAATGTCTGGGGGTTTTGCTGATTAGGCTAAATATCTGTTATTTTCTTGTAGTTTACCAGGTGGACTGGTAGATTTGAAAAAAAAAAACCCAGAAAATTTAGGTAGACAAACAGCGAAGGAACGTTTTTGTCTGTAGATACTCCTGTGAATTCAGGTTTGTCTCGGCAATACTGTTGTGCTTTCAGGTGTGGCTTGCTCTTATGATGGCTTCATGTTTCTGAGATTCTAATCTTTAGAAGAGACGTGTGAGAAACAGCCATCATTGTATTTGTTAGTTCAATTTAGGTCTGCTGAAATATATCAGTCGGGAAAAAAGTTAACAAATCTATGAAAAGTGTACTTTTTTTTTCTGAAGTATTTAAGCTGAGCTGCTATTGTGGTATATTATTGGTACATTAACAAGCTTTAAGATTTTTCTATTTGAATGGAGCTTTTTGGAGGGACATGAAGGTTATCCTGTAATCACTTGCAGGGTGATGATTCCTTTCCCATGGTGTCTATGACACTCCTAAAGACTTAGGAGATTATGGAATGTGTATTACTTTGTGTTAAAAGCCATCTTTTTGTTCTATAAATCTGAAAGAAGAATTTCAGTAATAAAAGCTGAGCCATTCTTTTTTTCTTTTTTTTTTTTTTCTTTTTTTTCTTTTGGAGCAGGTTCTCAAGTATCGCCTATTTGGCTGTTGTCAAATACTATCCTTTCAGGAAGAGTGTGGGCAGCATCTGGAAATAATCTATATTTATCCTTATTACTGGGAAGGGAAGTTGTTGAATAACATGTTTTCTCTTGATCTTGTGGGGCTTCTAAGCATTGTCTATGTTGCACGACTGTAATCTTTGCTTAAGAAGCAAATATGTGACCACAGTAGGGGGAAGAATTGCTAGGAAGCATCTAGGATTCTCTTTAAGATCTCAGGGAAGAATGAGTAAAGTTCTACTAATACAAGTATGCTCTTCATGTCAGGCTTTTCACCTAAAACTTTAAAAAAAAAGTTTCAGAAACTACAAATCTGATTTAATAATAACAGAAGGTACCTGAAACAGTTTGAAAGAATTGTTGGCTGTTTGGGGTTTTTTTTTGGAGGGATGACAATGGCAACATTTTGTTTAAGAACAAAGAAGCTATAGAACAGTAGTGTGAAAATGGTTAATAGACATTTTTCAAGTTGAAGGCTACACTGTTGTGAAATGTAACTTTTTTCCCCAGCAATGGTTAATGAAATTCTTTGAAGGAGGAAGACACTACAGCTGTTTGCATTTGTCTGAAATAACAAAATTTAATTCAGGAATGAAACTTATACAGATGATCTTAAAAAGAATGTTGGTGTTTTCCACTTTCAGACAGTTTTGAGTGGAGAAGTGTATACTTCTATGTCGTTCCTCATTGACATGGTTAATGTGAGTCTGGAACTGATGGATCCAAAAGGAAAAGACGGATGCAGCTCGTTAGCCAGGTATGAATTGTCTTTTGTTACTGAATACCTTATCCTAAATACTCTGCTCATCTGAGAGATGATAGGACAGGAATGAACACAATACATGAAATGATGGTTTAATAATGCAATGAAATAGAATTTCTTAATTAGAGTCCAAACTGAGAGTTTCAGCTGATCTGAAAGATGAAAGGGAATGACACTGTTCAAAAGATACCATCTGTGTATTTCAAGTTGTCCTTGAAATCACAGTTCAGTAATCAGTTGACTTGCCCAGGACAAATGGTACTCTAAATAAGAAAATGTTGAGAGGTAATCTTAAAAAAACAGATTTCTGCTATGTTGTTTTGGGGTTTTTTTAATCCAGAGGTTCTGTGTCAGTGGAAAATATTATTGCATACAGTACAGATCTACTTTCTATCTCTGACGTGAGATGTGTTTATAGTTGTTTTAGAAAACACATAAATGAAAGATAGCAGCAGTATACCATGCATACTTTTAAAAGAAGTGACTTCTAGAAACAAATGTATTGTTTTGCTTTTTATTCTCCTAGGTTTGATTTTAAGAAATCCAAGTTGCTTTTTGAAAGCTCTTCAAATGGAACAAAATCTGTAAATTTGGTTTCTCATTCTATGATGGCGTTTGACACACGTTATGCTGGACAGAAGTCTACTGCAGGCATGCCAAATGTGTTCAATTGCATCTTTCAGTCATCAAAGAATACTAGTAGTCCAGGAGCAATCCAGATTGAATTGCACTTCAGGTTGGTAATTCTGGGATTTGTTTGTTTGTTTGTTTTTAATAATGACATACTCGATCAGGATTGTCTTGGTTTTAGTACAGCTGTTACTAATGTAGATAAACTTGCTGGCATTGGATTTAAATCCAAAGGCGTTTTTGGGGTGGTTAGTGGTAGTTGATAGATTGAAATCTGCGGTTATTAGTTAACTGAAGGTTGTTGGATTTATTTTTTTTCCCCCCTCATTGCAATTAAAAAAAATTAGATTTGAATGTGTAATGTATCGGATGAAGTTCTGGCCTATTAAAATCAGTAGTGCTTAAAGCTTGATAAGTCTGGCCTATCACTTGTATGTTTGCATAAAACCATATTATAGAATTTTTAATATATGTTGCGCAAAAGCTGTTTTCCAGTAGGTGTCACACTTGCCTTTCTGAGAGAATCAAATAAATACAGAAATGGCACCTTTTTCAAAAAACAATCTCTACATTCTCTTCTGTATTCTATCCTACTCTGTTTGTTTTTCCTTATCCAAATCTCATGGAATGCTTAAAGGCATCACAGTGGATATTGGTTTTGTTCTAATTTAATACTGAAAACAGGAATATAAAGTATAATGTCAGTATTTACCTGTATCAGCATGGTGTTTTGTTGAGGGATGTTAACTAACAAAAAAGAGAGTGAAGTGAGATGACTAGAGATGTTGCTTTCGCTTTTAATTGGGCTCACTGACCAAACTCAGCTTTCTAACTCTTTTATCAGTATGATACCTCCTGAAGCAGCTGCAGGAGTTGAAAAAAAATCTGTGGACTATTTTAATCCAATAGAAAATCTTGAAGACACTTGTTCATAAAAAAAAAAAACAAACCAAACTTTAGGCAATTGACAGGAATTTGTTGTATAGATTTGCATAATGCATGATGGTTTTAAGTACTTAATAAGTTTCTGTTCAGAAAGACACCAAGATTTTGATTTGCATAAAACTAAAATGCCATGGGATTTACATGAAAACTTTTTTTTTTTTTTTTTGGTAACTCTTGATCCACTATCTGCCTAGATTGGAGGTTAGTTTGCACAGTACAGCCTAATCTGGTTTATGAGTGGTAGTTTCAGGAATTTTCTTCCCAACTGTTGTGCTTTTAAATTTTAGCCACATAAGCATGTGTTACGTTTTTACTGGTGAGAGCATCCTTGGCAGTAGATGTAAGCTTTTGCAGAGCTCAGTGATAGTGTTATACTGGCTCGTGCCTTTTGGAAATATCCTGGAGAGCCAGGGAGGGTTAAAGGCTTTTACTATTGGAAGCAGTGCAGGCAGGCTGCTTCTCACAAAGGAATTACAGTTCTTCAGAGATTTTATAGTTCAGACTGTGTTGAATATAAAATTGTTTCATGGTATTTAAGCACTTAGATTATTTTCCAGTTAGCGTGACCAAATATAATTGATATTCCAGATCATGAAGCCAAACACTTTTATCCCTCTTAGCCAGATATTCAAAATGTGATGCTAAAAGTTCAGTAAGGCTAGCATTTTTTCTGAATGACAAAGAAGCTTCCTGTGCTGCAAAATGCTGTCAGAGTGTGAGAGGAAACACATTGTATGTCTAATCTGAGGGATATGGAGCCAGGACTAAATTTCACATGCAGTACGTTAGGTTTGATACCGAACAGATGTAAAATAATAATAAAAAGATCAGTTTTAAAATTTGAGACTTTGCAAATTAGTATTGATAATGTAAATGTATTAAAGGAGCTTTTATAATCAATTTCTTGTTACATAGATTTTTTCAATTCATCTTTTGTATCATTACAGCTTAGAATTCATGCGGTTAAGATCTGTTGGGTTTCTGTGGGTACAGCAACTTGATGAATTTCAATCTGTTTAAATATATGTGTGTGTGTATTTTAAAGGCCAGACGCTGTAAACTAAGTGTATCCCTATAAAGTTCCATACAGTTCTTACTTGCTAGATACTGGTAGTTTTCCGTATCATTTTAAATATATGCAAGATGTAAAGTTCATACGTATGCTTCTCTCTTCTTAAAAGGTCTACTAAGGATTCCTCCAGTTTCACAGTTGTTCTGAACAATCTTCGTGTATTTCTAATATTTGACTGGTTGTTACTTGTTCATGACTTTTTATATACTCCTGGAGATACCAAAAAGCGAGAAAATCCCCTTTCTTCCCGGCAACGCACTTATAGCAGTGAAACAACTGTAGTTCCAAAAACAGTGAAAAGTGGAGTAGTTACAAAACGTTCATCGCTGCATGTGTCTACAGAAAAACAACTGGAAGTTAAGGTCAATGTGACAGGTAAATGTATTCTTCTCTGGTGCTTTTTTAGGAGCTTTTCTGATTAAAAGTCATGTGCTAGTGGGAAAAAAAGGTCCTTTAAAGGATGGAAAATCAAGAAACCTGCTACAAATGCTTAAAATACCTTAATGGTAGTTCCAATTGCCTTGTTTATTATGTCATTTTGTTTTGTTAAGGAACGGAATTTGTGGTCATTGAAGACATGTCTTGTTTCGATACCAATGCAATTATTTTGAAGGGGACTACTGTTCTCACTTACAAGCCCAAGTTATTAGATCGTCCTTTCTCTGGTAGTTTGTTTGGCATTGAGGTAAGAAGAAATAAATTTGCTTTTGTAAAACGTCTAAGATTAGAGGACCTTGTAAAGGTACTTTATAATAAATAAATATACAACAGCAGTAGTGCACAGATGATTTTTGAAGTTTGTTAGCTCCTCATCAAATGCTCTCATTCTACAGCAGTTTTAGAATGGTTTTATATTGTTTCTGTTAAGTCATTGAAACACTTGACTATAATCTCAAAATATTGCTGGTTCTAATCTAGCTTCCAACCGTAAACCAGCAAATTAATTGAAAGCTGAGGAGTGACTGGGTAAACAGAAGCCCACGTGGTCAGCAGAGGCCTGCAAGCTGTAATCATAACTGACTTGAGGTGAACAAGCAGTATCATGCCATTGGGATATGCCAGTAGGGATCTTTTGCGAGTAGGAGTTTTGAGTGTGCAAAGTGATCCTTGCATCCTGTTCAGCAGAGTAGGACCACAGCTGGAGTGCTGTGGCCAGTCTTGGGGAAACAGAGCTGAAGAAGCTCTGAACAGTTGAGAGGAGAGCAACAAGAACACTCAGAATTGAGGGGTACGTAATATGTTGGGAAAGTTTAAAAGCATTTGCTCAGAAGAAGAGGCTGTGCAGAGATGTGGTAAATCCTAAATGGTTATTGTAGACCAAAGAACAAAGCGTTTTCTGTATCTGTGATAGGAGGAGTAGTGGAGTTAAGCTTAGCAGTAAAGGGAATATTTGGTTGCATATCAGATTCTCTTTTCCTGAACTTACAGCCTAGCTGGGCACTGGAATAAATTGTCTGGAAAGATATTGGAATCTCTGCTGTCTTAAAGTCTACAAAGGAATTGTCTGTGGAGAACAGTTTGGCTGTAGTTCATGTTTTGTGATAGAGAGTCAGTCTTTGATTTCGAGGTTCTTGCCAGGCCTGCTCTCTCAGTTCCTAATTTTTTAAAAAATATTTTTAATTTTTAGGTTTTTTCATGCCGGTTAGGAAATGAGCAAGAGACCGCACTGTCAATTATTGATCCAGTACAAATTCAGATGGAACTTGTTGGGAATGCTTCCTACCCAAGTGGTTCAGGACTGTTGGATGCTTTCAATAGTGAGGATTTTCCTCCTATTCTAGAGGTAATATTAAAGGCCTGAATAAAAATATATGCAATAGAGACTACTAGATCATGATCTTACACAGATTTTTTTATGCCCAAGGATTCAATAGAATACTTTCCAGTGTATAAGAAAAGAATAAGATAAATTTTTCCTGAAGTGGAAAAAGCAAAGAAACAAGCACGCAGAAAGTTCTCTTAGTGGTAACGAAGGAGTGGTTTCTGGGATGTATTATAGAGATTAATAGTGGGGGAAAAATGTGGGCTGGTAATGTAGACATGTTAGATAGTTACTAATAACGGAACAAAAATGGTTTATTTTCTGTATCTCATTATTAGCGTTTATTAGAGAAGAAATCTATTTAGAGGCTTCTTTTTTTCA